CCCCCCCCCCGTACCCCGGTGCTTCTCCCACTTCACGGAAAGCAGCTTTTGCAAGTCTTGAGCAGATAGGTGTTAAAGACCTGCTGGGGTTCTCGCAGGCCAGCAGGCATCTAGCAAGCTGCTTGGCTCAGGAAGGTGAGATACCGGTCATTCGTGTCTGGCACCCTGGTCGCCCCATTTAGTTGTTTCCGTGGCTGTATGTTCCAATTATAAAAACACTCACAGAAAACAAAACAAGGAAGCAACTTGCAATCAACACGACGGACATAGCAGCGATGTCTGTCACGCAGTTAATCTCCCCACCCTGGTCATTGTGACTGACGTGTCTGATTTTAACAAGGAGCAAAGGGGGCCCTGTCTCCACGAGTGTCCAGTGTCCTACAATTGTGGCGAAACTGCCTTGGAACTCCCAGCCCTCACGTCTGTCAGCCAAGCGACCCCTCTCTCAGGATGAATGCAATGGTTACTAAAGAAAAAGTAGGCATGGGATATTCTAAATTTTCAATTAGTGGGCTCTTCGTGGAAACCTGGTAAGCCTTGAATATGTAGAATTTTTTGAAGGATTAAAACATACGGTGGACTAGAATTCCTCACCCATTCATTTGGAAAACTACTTGCTAAGAATGTTCTCCAATCCTAAATCTGGGAGCTGATCTAATTAAGTGATCCCAAAGCCAGGCTACAGCCGGAAAACAGACAAATACATTTTAATCAGTTCTAACTTAACATTAAAATAGCAGGAGAGATATGGTGGTGCATATGAGATGGGGAGAGAGAGAGAAAAAGGTAGAGACATCAAGATATACACATATATGTCTATTATAATATCTATTATATATTATATACAGTAGACAGATATATCTTATCTTAGTAGACTTCTATATATTATATATAGTAGACTTAAAAGTATAGAGAACTATATATATCCTAATTCAGATGCCCCTTGCTACAGGTGTATGCAAAATTAAACAAATGAAGAGAGCAGTTTCCCATCGGGACCGTGTTTCTGTTTTAGAACAGAGACAGACAAATTGTGACTTTAGAGCTCAGTTTTAATTAAATCACTGAGGCTTAGAGCCTTACCAACTCTGAACGCCTGCCCCTCTTCCCCCAGTCTGGGTCTGCACATCCACACAGATAACACCACAACTGGGAAGTTGCTTTCTTACCTAGTTAGCATTAGCCAAGGTGTTGGGTTTTTCTTTCCTGTTTATGTATTTTTACCAAAACAATGAATACACAAGGTTCCGAAATTTACAAGAACATATAAAACAAGCTTGCCCTTGTTCAAAGCTAACTGCTATTAACAAACTCATGTACATGTTTATCCTCCCAAAAATGTCTATTTATATCAGCATGAAAGTATATCCTTATGTAACTTCTGAGACACACGCTCTTCTATATGTATTTATATATGTGTGCATATATGTATGTGTGTGATATATACGTATATTATACACACACAATTCTGAATTCTTTTTCATTATTTTCATTAAAGATATTTTGAAAATTTTCCATATTTTCACTTAGAGATCTACATTATAGATCTACCTCGTATTTTTTCAGCTTCATTGAGATGTTACTGGCATATAACATAAGTATACAATGTGACGATTTGATACACTTATATATTGAGACCTACCTCATTTTTTCAACGTTTTTTATTTATTTTTGGGACAGAGAGAGACAGAGCACGAACGGGGGAGGGGCAGAGAGAGAGGGAGACACAGAATCGGAAACAGGCTCCAGGCTC